CCCCAAAACCCCAAAACCCCAAAACCCCAAAACCCCTATTATTTGTAAATTTATTGAAAATTGTTAAACATGGAGAAAACAGAAGTAAGAAATTTGACTAAAGGGGTAAAATTCTTTTGCTTTATTTATTTATTTTAGCCAACAAATGAAGGTGATATCCTGCTTGAAGCTGCTCAAAAGAGGCAAACTAGAGGTAGAAGAACCAAAGGATGCTCTAATGGGATCCTCAACTGTCTTAGAGCATCTGCTAGGACCTTTACAGAGCTCAATAAGAGGATTGATTTCAGCCAAGATGTGGTCTTTTGTAAAGACCAAACCTTGAAACTTGATGATAAGGAAGCGTTCACCAATGTCCTCAAGAAGTTCCCTTGGATCTCTTATAGATCTGATTTTAAGGAAATAAATGGTTTCACTAGCGATTCTGGGTGGGGATGTATGATTAGAACGGGCCAAATGATGATTGCTTACACTCTAGTTCAAATCAAACTTGAGGAGTATAAGACCCCTGAGGTACTTTTATAAAATCTTAATTCATCTAGTCAGATTCAGTGCACGAAAAGGTGCTACATGCCATAATTCCAATGTTTTTCGACAATCAGATGGAGTTTGATGCTCCATTTTCAATCCAGAACATTATTCAAATTGGAGAAAAGATGTATAACAAAGGTAGGATCTATCTCTAATTTGCAACAAATTCTTCTTGTCAAGATACCTCCTAATTCATGGTATAGCTGCGGGTTTATGGTATGGAGCAAACTCAGTGTCCCATTGCTTGAAGGTAAATTCTATTAGGATCCTTTAGGAATGTCATGATCGTTATAATACTAAATTCAATTCAGACCTAGAGATAAAGATCTTCAATGAAGGAATTGTTTATGAAGATGAGATCACTAAAGTTTTGGAAGAAAACAAGGTAAATCCTCGGCTTATCTCTTTAGAGACTTCTTGTTATAATCCCTCAAAGATTAGGGTTAAAGAAAGTAGATCCAGCATATTTTCCTCAGATAAAAGAACTTCTTGGGTGTAAACTCTCCATGGGGATACTTGGAGGCAGGGATACCAGTGCTAGGTTTATCATAGGCCACCAGGAAGATACTCTTATCACTTTGGATCCTCATTATGATCAGTGAACTGTAGATACCCTCGATGAGGGGGGTCTTGCGACTTATGTCACTGAATATTCAAGAAATTTCTCTATTTATGATCTGGACACTACAGTAGCATTTTGTAAGAATTCGGCTTATTTTTAGGTTTCTTGATTTCCAGTACAATGGATAAAGAATTTTTGAATGGTAAGCCAACATAGAACAATTTTTATAGCAAAAATAAGTACAATGAAGGTCAAATACAAAGATGATAATATCTTAATCATGCTAGAAAGCAAGAAGACACTGGAAGATAACATCCATAATGATATCGAAAGTTTCTAAAGAAAAATTCAACCTTGGAAAAATCTTAAGGGGTTTTGGGGTTTTGGGGTTTTGGGG